AAAAAGGAATTGAAACAAATTTATTGTTGAAAGAATCGGAATTTTAAGATATATAAATCCTCCTGGATCATGTTTGTGATGTAAATGAGATAACTGCACATCGGTCTGTGTTTATGTAGCAACATGATATATAGACAATAGTAAACGTAGACTAGAATTTGTTTCTTGGCGACATACAAGTGTCCTTGTTTCATGTCACGTGACTATATGCATTTGTTTGGAAAATAAGTCATTTAAAATAGAATTTATTATTCAACACACAAGCACGCACATACGTAAGCACGAAGGCAACCAACGAACAAACACCCACGAGTACACAACCACCAAATGCATGTGCAAGTAGACACATGCACACGAACTCACACACGTGTATGTAGAACGTAAACACAGACGCTCGAACGTACGCACACAAGCTAGTTTAAGCAAACATAAACTCACGATTTCACACACACTCACGATTTCATTAAAAAAAATCACGATTTCACATACACTCACAAATTCACACACTCACGATTTCACACACACTCACAAACTCACACAAACTCACGATTTTACATACACTCACGAATTCTCACAAACACACGAATTCTTAGAAAATAATAAATGTGCGCCTTTATACACAAGTAGGCACTCACAAATACATGGTCACATACTAAATTTCAAAGTAATGCAAACACAAATGCTGGTTCAACCATCATACAGTACACACATATGCTCAACAACATTTACCTTCCCCGACATATACACACACATTCATTTTTACCACAACAGTTACACCTGCATCTACAAAAAAAAAATCAGACACTTTATTTGAGCACATAAACAGTATATTCAATTGTACATGTACACATCCGTTTTTTTATTTGTTTACGGCTTAGTAGGAGATGCGACACACAGTAGGGTAATATGTCACATAACAAATATAAACTCATGGGACACAGCTACACATGTCACACACGTCTTGTAAACGACACACAACCTGGTAATGAGACACAAAACAAGAACACGTGAAACGATAAACACAAAAGAACTAATTACAACCCCCTGGTGGATGAATGGATTAACCAGGATACATGATCAGCTTAATTAATTTTGTTTATCAATTTATGAATTAAAATTCCTTGAGTTAATCTCGGGTACGAAAACATTTTATTTCTAACCAATAGTTTGTTTTGAAATAAAATAAATACCAGCATGCTCAGTGACATACAAGAACACCCTCACACCCCACCCCCACTCCAACCCATAATAAAAAAATAATCCAAAAATCTATAACATGTAATAAAACACACACACACTTTGCATCCATGGCCCCAACACACACAGCAACATTTCTAGGGGCCACAAACACGTACACTTAGGTCTACATCTATTCATGTTCATATTAACATTTCTTTCATATTCACGTTCACGTCCACCCATACGTTAAACGCCACACCCACGTCCATAACCATGTCCATGTCCATGTCCATGTCCGTGTCCATGTCCATGTCCATGTCCATGTCCATGTCCATGTCCATGTCCATGTCCATGTCCATGTCCGATCCTAAGTCCACACCCACATTTACACCCACATCCACGTCAACTGCCATGTCTAAGCACTTTTACACATACAGGCGCACGCACAACCACATCCACACGCACATCCACATTTAAGGCACGCCCATGTCCACGCCCACGCATAGGTACCCGTATATCAGTGGCGTAGGAAGGGGGGGGGGAGTTAGGGGGGGTCATAACCCCCCATAGACCCCTCGGTATATATATATAGTATGAGGGGGGTGCAAATCGAAAGTTTGAGGGGGGGGGGGGGGTGCAAGTCGAAAATTTGAGGGTGGGGGGGGGCAAATCGAAAGTTTGTCCCCGGGTAAAAATTGGAACCCCCCCCCCTTGAGACGATCCTGGCTACGCCTCTGCCGTATATAATACTTATATATGAAATTGCATCAATCTAGCTGTAACGGTACTCAAGTTATCGTGTTTACACACACATATACACACATACACACACAGACATACGGACAAGATTGCAAAATTATGCTTTTCCGACTCAGGGAGGTTTAAAACGTGGAGATTTGAAAAATCTCGATTTTGTTTTGCACGATTACAATACTTTCTTTATATTCTGTATAAGAGAAAGAAACAATGACAATCGATAAAATTATACATTTGTAAAAATTAAAGCTGTTCGGGAACCATCGGTTACACTGATTTTCATATTTTAGTATTGAATATAAGCCTTTGAAAATATTTTAGAATTGTTTTATTAACAGAAATATTTTTAAAAAACTCCCTCAACCCTTTTTTCAAGTCAACTGGAGTGGCCAGGAAAGGTAAAACAATGAAAATCACAACATTTGTTTTCCATGATAAAAATACACAATAGTGATCTATGTAGTATAACCTAGTAGTTTATTTATATTAAATAATATAACATATCCTATCACAAGCACAAACATATTTAATAAATAACTATCCATTGCTGTATGTACAAATGTATGTACATTATGTCCCTGAGTAAATCATAGAATCTATCACACATTTATCACATATTATTCATTTGCATTCAACAAATCTCAAACACAGTATGTTCAAACTGTTACATGTTTTCCGAGGTCTGGTAATGCCCAACACCTTACAAAATGATGCCATGTAGAAAGATTGGATATTATGGTACCAATGACTAGTAGATAACCAATTTGATATTCTGTACTTAATGTGTACGGTCTAGGCCCAACTACATAATTATTCATAATTATAGCTTGCAAAATATGACATTCTATTAGGTTATTCTATCGGACTACTGGTATATATATATATATATATATATATATATATATATATATATATATATATATATATATATATATATATATATATATATATATATGGAATGCGTAGCTGCACGTGACCACGCTGTTCTAAAAATAGCATCAGTTCACGCTCCCGTATGTTTTGACAACCATTTCCTTCGATGTGACAGCATTAGTATGGGCTCGCCATATCACGTGGTAGATACTGAAAAAAAAGAAAACAAATCAATTTTATGAACTAAAGTGTGCTAAAGAGGCGTATACATTCGACTCAAAGTGTTGAATGCATCGAAACGCAAAACGTAGGTGAAGTAGAGCCAACGTGTTAGCCTGGTCGCCGGTACAATTTTTACATAAAATAAAATTGTTTTAAACCACACGAGCTAGCTTAGCCATTTTTCTTTTACATTTTCCGCTATAAAATAAAACAACAAATTTTTTTTTTGCCTTTTTAAAAATTACGTTAAATTACAGAAAATACTAAAACATCAAAAACAGCTAATCTCAAATAAAGTCCCTGAAAAATCAACCAGTTAGGTTTTAAAAAAACACACCATTTCGAGAATATTCACGGCCGAGTTCATGAGAAACATCTCTATTGTTTTGTGGCTAGCAGGGACGTAGCTGCTTTAGAATAGAACCAACAAACCTGAGTGTTCATGGCTCACAGGGTTGTAGCTGCTTTAGAATAGAACCAACAAACCTGAGTGTTCATGGCTCACAGGGTTGTAGCTGCTTTAGAATAGAACCAACAAACCTGAGTGTTCATGGCTCACAGGGTTGTAGCTGCTTTAGAATAGAACCAACAAACCTGAGTGTTCATGGCTCACAGGGTTGTAGCTGCTTTAGAATAGAACCAACAAACCTGAGTGTTCATGGCTCACAGGGTTGTAGCTGCTTTAGAATAGAACCAACAAACCTGAGTGTTCATGGCTCACAGGGTTGTAGCTGCTTTAGAATAGAACCAACAAACCTGAGTGTTCATGGCTCACAGGGTTGTAGCTGCTTTAGAATAGAACCAACAAACCTGAGTGTTCATGGCTCACAGGGTTGTAGCTGCTTTAGAATAGAACCAACAAACCTGAGTGTTCATGGCTCACAGGGACGTAGCTGCTTTAGAATAGAACCAACAAACCTGAGGGTCACGGTGACCACAACGAAGAAGCCAGCAATGACCAGGTACGTCAGGCCCCGATACACCCCCAGCGACGCCCTGTACAGCGATAAGGCCGGGGCGCCCACTGCAAAGCTGATACTCTCACACACGCCCATTAGGGCGAACAGCGACCCTGGGGAAGAACGAACAATTCTTGTATTGTAAACAGCGACCCTGGGGAAGAACGAACAATTCTTGTATTGTAAACAGCGACCCTGGGGAAGAAGGAACAATTCTTGTATTGTAAACAGTGACCCTGGGGAAGAAGGAACAATTCTTGTATTGTAAAGAGCGACCCTGGGGAAGAAGGAACAATTCTTGTATTGTAAACAGCGACCCTATGGAAGAACGAACAATTCTTGTATTGTAAACAGCGACCCTGAAGATATACGATTAACTCTCCCCACATTTTTTAATGTCGTACGTTTTGTTGCTTCACTATTCGCCGTTTGTGTTGCGTTTAGCGTGAAATATGCGTTTAAGTTCGTCCAAATTTATTTACAATTATGACTAATTATTAACCCCCTCTCCCCATTTTCACACAAGTTTTTTCCACGTAAAACTAAGACCTCATCATAAAATGACGTTGCTGTTTAACCGGCTTTTCCTCATTTTTTTCTTTTTAAGTATTATTTCAGTAAGGGGATATAACCAGGCTAAAATATTTCGTAATAAATATTACTTGAGTATTTTCCCCTTGACCATTAATTCACAATTTTACTTTAGGAAGTCGAAAATCCCAATATTTAATTAAAAAAAATATTTAAAAATAAGAAAAAAAAATGTCGCCAGAGAAGGTAAGATTAGTGACGTCATTGTTACCTTGCGGCTCAGCTCCGATGAGCCGCGAAGTCTCCCCTCTGATGATTCCAACAGGTAGGGTCTGGCCGATGGACAGGAGTATAACTGAAAGGGAAAATACGATTGGTCAGATGGACAGGAGTATAATTGAAAGGGAAAATACGATTGGTCAGATGGACAGGAGTATAACTGAAAGGGAAAATACGATTGGTCAGATGGACAGGAGTATAACTGAAAGGGAAAATACGATTGGTCAGATGGACAGGAGTATAACTGAAAGGGAAAATACGATTGGTCAGATGGACAGGAGTAGAACTGAAAGGGAAAATACGATGGTCAGATGGACAGGAGTATAACTGAAAGGGAAAATACAATGGTCAGATGGACAGGAGTATAGCTGAAAGGGAAAATACGATTGGTCAGATGGACAGGAGTATAACTGAAAGGGAAAATACAATGGCCAGATGGACAGGAGTATAACTGAAAGGGAAAATACGATTGGTCAGATGGACAGGAGTATAACTGAAAGGGAAAATACGATTGGTAAGATGGACAGGAGTATAACTGAAAGGGAAAATACAATGGTCAGATGGACAAGAGTATAACTGAAAGGGAAAATACAATGGTCAGATGGACAGGAGTATAACTGAAAGGGAAGATACAATGGTCAGATGGACAGGAGTATAACTGAAAGGGAAAATACGATTGGTCAGTCTGTAATGCAAATATCAGCCTAATGAACAATATGTAATGCTAATCTCGCAAATTATCAACTTTAAAAGAAACATTGAACAGCTTCTAGGTAAGACTATTCAAAAATACTTTTTTTAAAAATAAATAAAAAAATATATATAAACAACATGTAATGGGTATTTTTAAAAACAATATAGTGTAGTATTTAAAATATTTATTTATTTTAATTGAATGTAATCAGTTTTTATCTTTATCGAATTAAAAGAGCACATTCAGCTGAAAAACGCTGATTTATATCGTCATGACTTCAGGGTAAATGTTGATGTTAATAAAGATTAAAGTATATAATCTAGCGGAGAGATGGTACCTGGGTATGTAGGCTAGCGAGGAGGTGGCTGCTAGCTAGTTGGGAGGTGGCTGCTAGCTAGTGAGGAGGTGGCTGCTAGCTAGTGGGGAGGTGGCTGCTAGCTAGTGGGGAGATGGCTGCTAGCTAGTGGGGAGATGGCTGCTAGCTAGTGGGGAGATGGCTGCTAGCTAGTGGGGAGATGGCTGCTAGCTAGTGGGGAGGTGGCTGCTAGCTAATGGGGAGGTGGCTGCTAGCTAGTGGGGAGGTGGCTGCTAGCTAGTGGGGAGATGGCTGCTAGCTAGTGGGGAGGTGGCTGCTAGCTAGTGGGGAGGTAGCTGCTAGCTAGTGGGGAGGTGGCGGCTTGCTAGTGGGGAGGTGGCTGCTAGCTAGTGGGGAGGTGGCTGCTAGCTAGTGGGGAGGTAGCTGCTAGCTAGTGGGGAGGTGGCTGCTAGCTAGTGGGGAGGTGGCTGCTACCTAGTGGGGAGGTGGCTGCTAGCTAGTGGGGAGGTGGTTGCTAGCTAGTTGGGAGGTGGCTGCTAGCTAGTGGGGAGGTGGCTGCTAGCTAGTGGGGAGGTGGCTGCTACCTAGTGGGGAGGTGGCTGCTAGCTAGTGGGGAGGTGGTTGCTAGCTAGTTGGGAGGTGGCTGCTAGCTAGTGGGGAGGTGGCTGCTACCTACTCGAGTAAATCTCCGCGTCGTTTGAGGCCAGGGCAAACATGACGGAGGAGCCGACGGCCGAGAGGGTGCCTAGCACCCCCAGCACCATCCCGGGGAGGCGCCCGATCAGCAGAGGCACCGCCAGGATGACAAACAAGCTGTAGGCAATCTCCTGTCCAGTCTGGAACCAACCAATCTTGACGGCATCCCAGCAGAACGGGTTGTTCATCAGGTACAGGCTTTTTACCTGGGGTTGGGGTGAGGGAATCAAAGAACAAGAATTTCATAAGTGTCAGGTTATTTCAACTTACTGGATACATTTCCCACTTGATGCCCACAAATCAACCATTCAGCCATTGAATGCTCAAAGCAAATATTAAATGTCCACAAATCAACCATTAAATGTCCACAAATCAACCATTAAATGTCCACAAATCAACCATTAAATGTCCACAAATCAACCACTAAATGTCCATAAATCAACAATTGAATGCTCAAAGCAAACATTAAATGTCCGCAAATCAACCATTAAATGCCCACAAATCAATCATTAAATGTCCACAAGTCAACAATTAAATGTCCACAAATCAACCATAAAATGTCCACAAATCAACCATTGAATGCTCAAAGCAAACATTAAATGTCCACAAATAAACCATTAAATGTCCACAAATCCACCATTAAATGTCCACAAATAAACCATTGAATAATCAAATCAAACATTAAATGTCCCCTAATCAACTAATAAATTTCCACAAATCAACCATTAAATGTCCACAAATCAACCATTAAATGTCCATAAATCCACCATTAAATGCCCACAAATCCACCATTAAATGCCCACAAATCCACCATTAAATGCCAACAAATCCACCATTAAATGCCCAGGAACCAACCACCAGATGCCCATACGATACAATGCCCTTTTACTGACCTTCGAAATGCCCACCAAGGCGCCGATATATACAAAGAAAGAAAAGAGCGCCAGCCCCACCATCTGTTTGACCCTCCGTTCCAGAGTTTTGTGGAAAGGCGACGTCACATTTTTCAAATACGTTCTCATGGACCAGCCCTCCCTCCCGTGGGTGAGGCTTGGGCGACGGTCGGGGAGGCAAAATGACAGAATGAGGCTGTAGAACAGATCACGTGATAGGACTTGGTCAGCTAGAGACGAACGAAACACACAACACGATGTGATCGGGACAAATTAGGACCCATGAAAATTAAATTTAAAACTAATGAAGTTTAACTTGATGTCGGATCTCTAAGGTTTTAATGATGTTTAATTTTATTCGTCCTTATACACTGCCCTCTCTCAACCCTCCCTCCCTTCTAATTAAATATTGGTATAAATAGTGCCATTGACGATCCGTAGTAAATTTTATATGTTTCTTGACATCGGAGCAGTCAGCATTATGCCCAGCAGCCTTTACTTTCTCTGCCATGAGTCAGGTACCCATCAGAGGGACGTCCTATAGCTACGTTCGTAAACCGAACTCGGGATTTGCGGGTAAGCAGTTGTGCGCACTTTCATCCGACCACGCCAACCAACTGCTCTTTGTTGTAGGGAGATTGAATTATTTATTTGATAATTTCTTTACATCGAACAAAAAATTTAGATGAATATTTTATAGCATAATTTTGATTTCGCATCAAGGAAATATCTTTTATTTCGTTTAATGTAGATAATATACAGTATTGTACGTTATGCCTGTAGAAAGTTCTGTAAAATGTCTGTAAAAATGTCGGTGATAACATCTGTAACAAACTTTAAGTCTGTAAAATGTATGAAGAAATTGGTTTAAAAGGGTGTAAAAATGTTTGTAAATGTGTCTATGATATGTCTGTAAAATATCAGAAAATATCTAAACAATAGTGTGTAAAACGTCTGTAAAATATCCGTAAAATATCTGTAAAATGTCTGTAAAATGTGTGTAAAGTATCTAAAAAATAGTCTGTAAAATGTCTGTAAAATATCCGTAAAATGTCTGTGAAATGTCTGTAAAATGTCTGTAAAATTTCCGTAAAATGTCCGTAAAATGTCCGTAAAATGTCTGTAAAATGTCTGTAAAATGTCAGTAAAATGTCAGTAAAATGTCAGTAAAATATCTGTAAAATGTCTGTAAAATGTCTGTAAAATGTCTGTAAAGTGTCAGTAAAATGTCAGTAAAGTGTCAGTAAAATGTCAGTAAAATGTCTGTAAATTGTCAGTAAAATGTCAGTAAAATATCTGTAAAATGTCTGTAAAATGTCTGTAAAATGTCTGTAAAATGTCTGTAAAATGTCTGTAAAATGTCTGTAAACATGTCTGTAAAATGCCCTACCTAATTGCCATGAAGCCGGCTGACATGAGTGATGGAATCAGGTACCCTGTGGACACAATCAGCTGACCAGTGGCGTAGTACAGAATGCCAGACACGACACCTTTGGCACCTTCCAGGAAAGACAGCCAGACGGTCCGTCGGTGGTCACGTGGTGTCAGGTCAGACAGGTACAGATGGGTCACTATGAAACATCCAGCTATCTGCAAGACAGGTAGAGATGGGTCACTATGAAACACCCGGCTATCTGCAAGACAGGTACAGATGGGTCACTATGAAACACCCGGCTATCTGCTAGATAGGTAGAGATGGGTCACTATGAAACACCCGGCTATGGGTCACTATGAAACACACAGCTATCTGCAATACGGGTAGAAATGGGTCACTATGAAACACCCGGCTATGGGTCACTATGAAACACCCGGCTATCTGCAAGACAGGTAGAGATGGGTCACTATGAAACACCCGGCTATGGGTCACTATAAAACACCCGGCTATCTGCAAGACAGGAACAGATGGGTCACTATGAAACACCCGGCTATGGGTCACTATGAAACACCCGGCTATCTGCAAGACAGGTAGAGATGGGTCACTATGAAACACCCAGCTATCTGCAAGACAGGTAGAGAAGGGTCACTATGAAAGACCCGGAATAAATGGGTCACTATCAATTAAAATAAGGTGCTAACCGGAGCCGATTCAAACAAAAAGACAATTGAAAATAAAATCCCAAAAATAGCAAACAAAAAATTTGTTTTGTAATCAACCCAATAAATAGTTGTCAACAGTGTTAACACGGAAAACGTCACAAAATGTGACAAAAAAGACACCCTCTACTTCACACACAGTCTAGTTACATTCCCACACAACTGATACCATCTGCTCTACACCATCTACTTACATGCCATCTGCTCTACACCACCTACTACATCCCCACACAACTTATACCATCTGCTCTACACCACTTACTTACATGCCATCTGCTCTACACCACCTACTTACATCTCCACACAACTTATACCATCTGCTCTACACCACCTACTTACATCTCCACACAACTTATACCATCTGCTCTACACCACCTACTTACATCCCCACACAACTGATACCATCTGCTCTACACCACCTACTTACATCCCCACACAACTGATACCATCTGCTCTACACCACCTACTTACATCCCCACACAACTGATACCATCTGCTCTACACCACCTACTTACATCCCCACACAACTGATACCATCTGCTCTACACCACCTACTTACATCCCCACACAACTGATACCATCTGCTCTACACCACCTACTTACATCCCCACACAACTGATACCATCTGCTCTACACCACCTACTTACATCACCACACAACTTATACCATCTGCTCTACACCACCTACTTACATCCCCACACAACTTATACCATCTGCTCTACACCACCTACTTACATCACCACACAACTTATACCATCTGCTCTACACCACCTACTTACATCACCACACAACGTATACCATCTGCTCTACACCACCTACTTACATCACCACACAACTTATATCATCTGCTCTACACCACCTACTTACATCCCCACACAACTGATACCATCTGCTCTACACCACCTACTTACATCCCTACACAACTGATACCATCTGCTCTACACCACCTACTTACATCACCACACAACTTATACCATCTGCTCTACACCACCTACTTACATCACCACACAACGTATACCATCTGCTCTACACCACCTACTTACATCACCACACAACTTATATCATCTGCTCTACACCACCTACTTACATCCCCACACAACTGATACCATCTGCTCTACACCACCTACTTACATCCCTACACAACTGATACCATCTGCTCTACACCACCTACTTACATCCCCACACAACTGATACCATCTGCTCTACACCACCTACTTACATTCCCACACAACTGATACCATCTGCTCTACACCACCTACTTACATCCCCACACAACTGATACCTCTACACCACCTACTTACATCCCCACACAACTGATAGCATCTGCTCTACACCACCTACTTACATCCCCACACAACTGATACCTCTACACCACCTACTTACATGCACACACATCTGACACCATCTGCTCTACACCACCTACTTACATCCCCACACAACTGATACCATCTGCTCTACACGACTTACTTACATCCCCACACAACTGATACCATCTGCTCTACACCACCTACTTACATCCCCAAACAACTGATACCATCTGCTCTACTCCACATACTTACATCCCCCACAACTGATACCATCTGCTCTACACCGCCTACTTACATCCCCACACAACTGATACCATCTGCTCTACACCACCTACTTACATGCCCACACAACTGATACCATCTGCTCTACACCACCTACTTACATCCCCACACAACTGATACCATCTGCTCTACACCACCTACTTACATCCCCACACAACTGATACCATCTGCTCTACACCACCTACTTACATCCCCACACAACTGATACCATCTGCTCTACACCACCTACTTACATCCCCACACAACTGATACCATCTGCTCTACACCACCTACTTACATCCCCACACAACTGATACCATCTGCTCTACACCACCTACTTACATCCCCACACAACTGATACCATCTGCTCTACACCACCTACTTACATCCCCACACAACTGATACCATCTGCTCTACACCACCTACTTACATCCCCACACAACTGATACCATCTGCTCTACACCACCTACTTACATCCCCACACAACTGATACCATCTGCTCTACACCACCTACTTACATCCCCACACAACTTATACCATCTGCTCTACTCCACATACTTACATCCCCACACAACTGATACCATCTGCTCTACACCACCTACTTACATCCCCACACAACTTATACCATCTGCTCTACTCCACATACTTACATCCCCACACAACTGATACCATCTGCTCTACACCACCTACTTACATCCCCACACAACTGATACCATCTGCTCTACACCACCTACTTACATCCCCACACAACTGATACCATCTGCTCTACACCACCTACTTACATCCCCACACAACTGATACCATCTGCTCTACACCACCTACTTACATTCCCGCCAAGTCCCTCCACGGCGTATCCCACGTACAAGAACTTGAGGTCCAGGTTCCAGAACACGATGACCGGCAGCAGGGCGTTCTTGACCATGCAGCAGAAAGTGGGCAGTGCCAGCAGGAAGTTCCGACTGACCAGGGTCGAGATGGCGCCAATCAGCAGACATCCCATGATGCCCAGACAGGCGGAGATCAAGGACAGGTTCAGCATCAGCTCTGACGACATATCCTGGATGGCCTGAGTCAACTGGTCAGCTGTAGAGTTCCCTGACGTCTGGTTGACACACGGCTGGCTGGAACATAATGGAATTCTGTAGCCGGTTACTCATTCATTATGTTAATTTCAATCTTAACACACACCCCCTGGTTGTAAGCTGTGTACATTTATCCCTGCTGGTGGGTAAGGGATATAAACATACAGACACGAGAATTAGGAAATATCCCCTCTACCATCAAAACACGCTAGCCGCACCTCTTGCTTGATACATTTAAAAACTAATACCCAACTATATTTCGATTTCGAGTCGATCCTCGATGGAAACTCAATTAGAAGTTAATCTAATTAGTTTCATTAATAATCATCTGGTCTTTAACGAAGTCAATGTGTAATGTCATCAATCAGATTTATGTTTCTTAAGACTAATGAATATCAACTTTCTACCGTCCCAGATAAGCTACCAGCCCAGACATGCTTTCATTCACAACATGCTAATATCCACAAACATCTACCACCCAGAAGCGCTTACAATCCAAACCATGCTACCTCCCAAAACCATACTACCGACCAAATGAAGCTACCTTCCCCAAACTGCTACCTCCCACAAACTGCATCCAACCAAACATGCTACCTCCCACAACCAGCTACATTTCACACACTGCTACCTTCGCCCAACCTGCTACCTCCCCTATCCTGCTACCTCTCACAACCTGCTACCATTAAAAAAAGCTACCGCCTAGTAGAAGATGACTTACAACACCTGTCCATCAAATTCTAAAAGACACAAATTACAGTTTGAGATACCTTGAAGTCTGCTCGCTAGCATTGCCCAGTAAAGCTGTCGAGTACCGCTGGTAGATGTACTGTTCTATCAACGGTGAGAAAATACGGTAGGCGGCGCTGACAAACAGCGAATAAATGTTTAGTAAGATAAAGGGAAGTAACTCAATGGAACCCTTTGGTGTAAACTCGCTGGAGTCGTGTCCCTTTTGGTGATGTGATATTCCTGTGTTGTGATTCTTGATCAGGCTTTCTGTTGACGACGTGTAGTCGTCGTCCTTGATGCTGTGGTGGACGGAGGCGGCTGTTGTGGGCGGCTGTCCAGTGTTTTCGTAGTCGTCGGCTGCAGATATTTTTCTGTGCGAGGTGGTTGCCATGACGAAGCGAGGGAGACAACGCTTAGCAACGAATTATTCCCCATTCAAGATAAGCCATTGTCGAACACGTTTTCCTGACTCTAGAAAATTTTCTGTGAAAGACAAAATAAAATACTTAAAAAAAACTTTTTAAAAAACCACGTTTTTCTTGTGGACTAAAAGGTAGAAAATAAAATTTTCTTTTGTGCTTCCTCGAGCTGTGCAGGTTCTTGTGATGACTGACAAAAAACGTGGGTACGTTCACCATCAAATTTCCCGACCCATCTGCCCGACCCACGTTTTTTGTCAGTCATCACAAGAACCTGCACAGCTCGAGGAAGCACAAAAGAAAATTTTATTTTCTACCTTTTAGTCCACAAGAAAAACGTGGTTTTTTTAAAAGTTTTTTTTAAGTATTTTATTTTCTCCTTTTTAGTCCGTTGCTACACATGAAAAACGTGGTTTTTAAAAAAAGTGTTTATAAATACACGGACTAAAAACTTGAGCGACCAGGATTCGAACCTGGGTTGTCGCGGCCACAACGCGAAGTACTAACCACTATACGATCACGGCCAGCGCGCTCACATCGATTGGGGGCCGAAGTAACTGGGTCAATAGGCCTCCAGTCTTGTCGGTATCTTTAGAAATCATGTCCTCAATTTTATGGTCCTTGGGGCGTAATTAAATTAAGCTAATTACGGTCACTAATTGCTAGTTTTTATGATTGCATCTAAAATTATTAGGCGAAAGTAGCATGCATGCCAAATTTCAGGTCTATAGAGCAATCAGAAGTGGGCTAATTTTCGATGTCAATTTTAACAACAAACATCCAAACAAACAAACAAACGCGAAGCTGAGTTAAGAATAAAATAAAATACTTAAAAAAAACTTTTTAAAAAACCACGTTTTTCTTGTGGACTAAAAAGTAGAAAATAAAATTTTCTTTTGTGCTTCCTCGAGCTGTGCAGGTTCTTGTGATGACTGACAAAAAACGTGGGTACGTTCACCATCAAATTTCCCGACCCATCTGCCCGACCCACGTTTTTTGTCAGTCATCACAAGAACCTGCACAGCTCGAGGAAGCACAAAAGAAAATTTTATTTTCTACTTTTTAGTCCACAAGAAAAACGTGGTTTTTTAAAAAGTTTTTTTTAAGTATTTTATTTTCTCCTTTTTAGTCCGTTGCTACACAGGAAAAACGTGGTTTTTAAAAAAGTGTTTATAAATACACGGACTAAAAACTTGAGCGACCAGGATTCGAACCTGGGTTGTCGCGGCCACAACGCGAAGTACTAACCACTATACGATCACGGCCAGCGCGCTCACATCGATTGGGGCCGAAGTAACTGGGTCAATAGGCCTCCAGTCTTGTCGGTATCTTTAGAAATCATGTCCTCAATTTTATGGTCCTTGGGGCGTAATTAAATTAAGCTAATTACGGTCACTAATTGCTAGTTTTTATGATTGCATCTGAAATTGTTAGGCGAAAGTAGCATGCATGCCAAATTTCAGGTCTATAGAGCAATCAGAAGTGGGCTAATTTTCGATGTCAATTTTAACAACAAACATCCAAACAAACAAACAAACGCGAAGCTGAGTTAAGAAAAACGTGTTAATACTTAAAAAAAACTTTTTAAAAAACCACGTTTTTCTTGTGGACTAAAAAGTAGAAAATAACTATTTACATACATTTGATGAAAAAAAACGTGGGTACGTTCACCATCAAATTTCCCGACCCATCTGCCCGACCCACGTTTTTTTTCATCAAATGTATGTAAATAGTTATTTTCTACTTTTTAGTCCACAAGAAAAACGTGGTTTTTTAAAAAGTTTTTTTTAAGTATTTTATTTTCTCCTTTTTAGTCCGTTGCTACACATGAAAAACGTGGTTTTTAAAAAAGTTTTTTATATAGTTTATTTTCTACTTTATCTAATGACTTGATTAAGTATGAATTGACTAAGTGTTTATAAATACACGGACTAAAAAAATCTTGAGCGACCAGGATTCGAACCTGGGTTGTCGCGGCCACAACGCGAAGTACTAACCACTATACGATCACGGCCAGCGCGCTCACATCGATTGGGGCCGAAGTAAGTGTGTCTATAAGCCTCCAGTCTTGTCGGTATCTTTAGAAATCATGTCCTCAATTTTATGGTCCTTTGGGCGTAATTAAATTAAGCTAATTACGGTCTCTAATTGCTAGTTTTTATGATTGCATCTGAAATTGTTAGGCGAAAGTAGCCTGCATGCCAAATTTCAGAACTATAGAACAATCAGAAGTGGGCTAATTTTCGATGTCAATTTTAACAACAAACAAATCCACACATCCACAAACGCGAAGCTGAGTTAAGAAAAACGTGTTAAAAACGTGTTAAAATAAAATACTTAAAAAAAAACTTTTTAAAAAACCACGTTTTTCTTGTGGACTAAAAAGTAGAAAATAAAATTTTCTTTTGTGCTTCCTCGAGCTGTGCAGGTTCTTGTGATGACTGACAAAAAACGTGGGTACGTTCACCATCAAATTTCCCGACCCATCTGCCCGACCCACGTTTTTTGTCAGTCATCACAAGAACCTGCACAGCTCGAGGAAGCACAAAAGAAAATTTTATTTTCTACTTTTTAGTCCACCAGAAAAACGTGGTTTTTTAAAAAGTTTTTTTTTAAGTATTTTATTTTCTCCTTTTTAGTCCGTTGCTACACATGAAAAACGTGGTTTTTAAAAAAGTGTTTATAAATACACGGACTAAAAACTTGAGCGACCATGATTCGAACCTGGGTTGTCGCGGCCACAACGCGAAGTACTAACCACTATACGATCACGGCCAGCGCGCTCACATCGATTGGGGCCGAAGTAACTGGGTCAATAGGCCTCCAGTCTTGTCGGTATCTTTAGAAATCATGTCCTCAATTTTATGGTCCTTGGGGCGTAATTAAATTAAGCTAATTACGGTCACTAATTGCTAGTTTTTATGATTGCATCTGAAATTGTTAGGCGAAAGTAGCATGCATGCCAAATTTCAGGTCTATAGAGCAATCAGAAGTGGGCTAATTTTCGATGTCAATTTTAACAACAAACATCCAAACAAACAAACAAACAAACGCGAAGCTGAGTTAAGAAAAACGTGTTAATAAAAATTGAACTACTGCTGAGACATATTTATGTGTAGCTGAACCTGAATTAAGATGTCGAAAGAGATCTAGAATAGTTTAGGTAACAGTGGTGGCCTGTTTGCTGTAAATTACACGTCTGAGGCAATGAAACAAAAACAGTAAAAAGACAATAAAAATAAAGAAAAAACATTTGTATGTTAATGTTTGTGTAAATTATGTTTTACTTAACATATAAACTTTATAAGAGAAAAAAAAAAAACAATCAAACAGGGAATGGGCTAATGTTATTTTTAGCTTCTTTAAAAAAAATGTAGGTCATACAAGTAAAGTGTTAAGCTTTTAAATACCTTTCATGATGTTTATTTCGGATAAGGTTTGAATACATTTGATCAAGCCCTAACCTTGCCCTAAATATAACCCAAATTATAAACTTTACACTATATCTAGCCTAGCCTACATATTTATCTCACTTTGAGATAAAAATGATACTTTTTAGATTTTAAAACAAAAAAGAAAAAGAAAAAGTATGGTAATTTTAAAATCATCAATGTACTGCAATGTGAAGTGAAAATTAAGTGAACATAAGTAAACATAGAAAACATAAAATAAGCATAAACATTGTTTATTTTAGCCAAATACCGAGCGTACTTTTTATGAGATTTTACTTGATTCTTCGTATTTAATTAACATTACACAACTGACCCATGTCCTTCACATAACACAACTGACCACATGTAGTCACATAACACAACTGACGTCATGTCCTTCACATAACACAACTGACCCATGTCCGTCACATAACACAACTGACCCATGTCCGTCACATAACACAACTGACCCAGTCCCTTCACATAACACAACTGACCCATGTCCGTCACATAACACAACTGACGTCATGTCCATCACATAACACAACTGACCCATGTCCGTCACATAACACAACTGACCACCATGTCCGTCACATAACACAACTGACCCATGTCCGTCACATAACACAACTGACCCATGTCCGTCACATAACACAACAGACCCATGTCCGTCACATAACACAACTGACGTCATGTCCGTCACATAACACAACTGACCCATGTCCGTCACATAACACAACTGACCCATGTACGTCACATAACACAACTGACCCATGTACGTCACATAACACAACTGACCCATGTACGTCACATAACACAACTGACGTCATGTCCGTCACATAACACAACTGACCCATGTCCGTCACATAACACAACTGAACCATGTCCGTCACATAACACAACTGACGTCATGTCCGTCACATATCACCTGACCCATGTCCGTCACATAACACATCTGACCCATGTCCGTCACATAACACAATTGGCCCCATGTCCGTCACATAACACAACTGACGTCATGTCCTTCACATAACACAACTGACGTCATGTCCATCACATAACACAACTGACCCATGTCCGTCACATAACACAACTGACCCCATGTACGTCACATAACACAACTGACGTCATGTCCGTCACATAACACAACTGACCCATGTACGTCACATAACACAACTGACCCATGTCCGTCACATAACACAACTGACGTCATGTCCATCACATAACACAACTGACCCATGTCCGTCACATAACACAACTGACCCATGTACGTCACATAACACAACTGACCCATGTCCGTCACATAACACAACTGACGTCATGTCCATCACATAACACAACTGACCCATGTCCGTCACATAACACAACTGACGTCATGTCCATCACATAACACAACTGACCCATGTCCGTCACATAACACAACTGACCCCAGTCCCTTCACATAACACAGTTGACCCCAGTCCCTTCACATAACACAATTGACCCATGTCCGTCACATAACAAAACTAACCCCAGGACGTGGGAAAGTAGCGTTATGTGATAGAGATCTGATGATGGACTATGATATAATTGGATATCTAATTAAGCGAATTTTAATTAATAAAAATAACATTGCTGTATAAAGTACTGTTTATGTCATGGTGGGGAGGGGTAGGGCTAAGATGCTCTTTTTTGAGGGGTGGGTCTATAGTAATCAATACAAACTTTACTGTGAGCGGTGGGTCTACAGTAATCAATACAAACTTTACTGTGAGGGGTGGGTAATAGTAATCAATACAAACTATACTGTGAGGGGTTTGGTTATAGTAATCAATACAAACTATACTGTGATTGGTGTAAACGGGAATCAATACAAACTTTACTGTGATTGGTGTATAAGGGAATCAATACAAGCGCACGGGCGATAACTCAGTCACAGGTGCCAGACTTACCTGTCGTCATAGAACTCCAGGTACCCACAGTCCCACGAGAACTCCACCCTCGGGCCGCCGTCGAGTTGTTGTACACCAAGATCACATGACCAGTGTGACAGACCAACAAAAGTCCCGTGTGACAGATGTAGGATAGATACAGTCGAATGTCGGCCAGTCATAGCTATTTAAACGACAAGCGTCAAGATAAAACAAAACTTAAATCGGGGTCAAGGTTACGGTTGTGTTGATGTTATCCAGGCCTACCAGAACACGGAAAACATGTTGAAGTACAGGTCGAATGATCGAATCCCAGCTAGACAAGCCAGTTTTGTCGTGTCGATGCTGATTAGACGTAACGTGACCTCGATATGTAAGTGTTTTGGAGGAGACAATAACGTTAGGCTATTTATAAATCAGGGGACGGCATAACGTTGGCTGACCTCGTTTTATCAGATATAGGACTGTGTTCCATGTAGAAAAAAGAAAGTGACGAATGCAGTGGCTAAACAGATCAGCAGGAGGGGAGGACCGTGTGCATTAGAAGACTGGATGTGGGGGGGGGGGGGGAGGGGGGTATATCAAAAGTAGAGGAAACTAGTGAGACTCTTAAATACAGTTCTGAAAAATATTTAATTATGTCTTCCAGTTTTATATTAGTAAGAAATATATTATGTTAAAGAAAAAGTTTTGTATACTGATTCTACAAAATATTTTATGTTTTTATAATTCTAAATATATTTTAAGTGTATATGCTATAAATATAAACCATGACAACATTTTCGGAATCTTTTTGGATATATAAATGCAGTTGCACCAAAATATTTTACAACTTAGAAATATCAACAGTAACAGCCCCGATAAAAATAGCATGCAGCAATCATAAACGCCAGTAGTAAAATAAACACTGACTCAGCTATAACCTCTAGTCAAAGCAACAACCAACGAGTTGTCACAAGCAAGAAATGCAATTCCCACCTCTTCAGAAACTAACCAATCCCAAGCTAAAAACCACAGGCAAATATGGCTACACACATGCCACCATTTAGGTAACAACACTTCAGCCAACTAAAAATTCCAACAACATATATCTGAATAATCAATACCACAGCAATAACCAAGTTAAACACAAACACAAATCTTCAGTACCAAAACAAACACAATCTCAGAACTATCGCTCAATAACGAAAGCAAAACTGACAAAGAATATCGACATAACGTCGATAACTCACAGAAAATTGAAAGAACTCTCAAGTTACCAAATTCCGTCTACACAAAAAGGCACCAAACAGTCAATCATCAACGCTGTACTATAAATCCAAGACGTTGAGGATATGGTAAGCACAGAGCAAGTAGACATAAGCTGTAGTATCTCCAGGTTATATTTTGACAACGATGAAGACCAGATAAAACATGAGCATCAGTAATTTATAAAATGCTTGTACTAAAAAAATAAAGAATTAAAAGCAGTACTCCCGTGTTATTACAGTGACACTTTTTTCTTCTCACAGGAGCTCTGGAGTAACCACACCAATGAAACGCACCCAGTGAAGAGAAAATTCTGCGAAATCTACTTTCGCATTACACCAGACAACAGTTTACTGACTGAATACACCAATACAACACCAGACAACAGTTTACTGACTGAATACAACAATACAACACCAGACAACAGTTTACTGACTGAATACAACACCAGACAACAGTTTACTGACTGAATACAACACCAGTCAACAGTTTACTGACTAAATACAGCACCAGACAACAGTTTACTGACTGAATACAACAATACAACACCAGACAACAGTTTACTGATTGAATACAACACCAGACAACAGTTTACTGATTGAATACAACACCAGACAACAGTTTACTGATTGAATACAACACCAGACAACAGTTTACTGACTGAATACAACACCAGTCAACAGTTTACTGACTAAATACAGCACCAGACAACAGTTTACTGACTAAATACAGCACCAGACAACAGTTTACTGATTGAATACAACACCAGACAACAGTTTACTGATTGAATACAACACCAGACAACAGTTTACTGATTGAATACAGCACCAGACAACAGTTTACTGACTGAATACAACAATACAACACCAGACAACAGTTTACTGACTAAATACAGCACCAGACAACAGTTTACTGATTGAATACAACACCAGACAACAGTTTACTGATTGAATACAGCACCAGACAACAGTTTACTGATTGAATACAACACCAGACAACAGTTTACTGATTGAATACAACACCAGACAACAGTTTACTGATTGAATACAACACCAGACTACAGTTTACTGACTGAATACAACAATACAACACCAGACAACAGTTTACTGACTAAATACAGCACCAGACAACAGTTTACTGATTGAATACAACACCAGACAACAGTTTACTGATTGAATACAGCACCAGACAACAGTTTACTGATTGAATACAACACCAGACAACAGTTTACTGATTGAATACAACACCAGACAACAGTTTACTGACTGAATACAACACCAGACAACAGTTTACTGATTGAATACAACACCAGACAACAGTTTACTGATTGAATACAACACCAGACAACAGTTTACTGATTGAATACAGCACCAGACAACAGTTTACTGATTGAATACAACACCAGACAACAGTTTACTGATTGAATACAACACCAGACTACAGTTTACTGACTGAATACAACAATACAACACAAGACAACAGTTTACTGACTAAATACAGCACCAGACAACAGTTTACTGATTGAATACAACACCAGACAACAGTTTACTGATTGAATACAACACCAGACAACAGTTTACTGATTGAATACAACACCAGACAACAGTTTACTGATTGAATACAACACCAGACAACAGTTTACTGACTGAATACAACACCAGACAACAGTTTACTGATTGAATACAACACCAGACAACAGTTTACTGATTGAATACAACACCAGACAACAGTTTACTGATTGAATACAGCACCAGACAACAGTTTACTGATTGAATACAACACCAGACAACAGTTTACTGATTGAATACAACACCAGACAACAGTTTACTGATTGAATACAACACCAGACAACAGTTTACTGATTGAATACAACACCAGACAACAGTTTACTGATTGAATACAACACCAGACAACAGTTTACTGATTGAATACAACACCAGACAACAGTTTACTGATTGAATACAGCACCAGACAACAGTTTACTGATTGAATACAACACCAGACAACAGTTTACTGATTGAATACAACACCAGACTACAGTTTACTGACTGAATACAACAATACAACACCAGACAACAGTTTACTGACTAAATACAGCACCAGACAACAGTTTACTGATTGAATACAACACCAGACAACAGTTTACTGATTGAATACAACACCAGACTACAGTTTACTGACTGAATACAACAATACAACACCAGACAACAGTTTACTGACTAAATACAGCACCAGACAACAGTTTACTGATTGAATACAACACCAGACAACAGTTTACTGATTGAATACAACACCAGACTACAGTTTACTGACTGAATACAACAATACAACACCAGACAACAGTTTACTGACTAAATACAGCACCAGACAACAGTTTACTGATTGAATACAACACCAGACAACAGTTTACTGATTGAATACAGCACCAGACAACAGTTTACTGATTGAATACAACACCAGACAACAGTTTACTGATTGAATACAACACCAGACAACAGTTTACTGACTGAATACAACACCAGACAACAGTTTACTGATTGAATACAACACCAGACAACAGTTTACTGACTGAATACACCAGACAACAGTTTACTGACTGAATACAACACCAGACAACAGTTTACTGACTGAATACAACACCAGACAACAGTTTACTGATTGAATACAACACCAGACAACAGTTTACTGATTGAATACAACACCAGACTACAGTTTACTGACTGAATACAACAATACAACACCAGACAACAGTTTACTGATTGAATACAACACCAGACAACAGTTTAGTGACTGAATACAACACCAGACAACAGTTTACTGACTGAATACAAGACAACAGTTTACTGACTGAATACAAGACAACAGTTTACTGACTGAATACAAGACAACAGTTTACTGACTGAATACAAGACAACAGTTTACTGACTGAATACAAGACAACAGTTTACTGACTGAATACAACACCAGACAACAGTTTACTGACTTAATACAACAATGACCGAGATGAAAATACTCAATCCATTAAGGACAAATAACTCGACCACGTAAAACCTTAACGAAAGATAGTACAGAATAACATCAGGACAGTCCAGACCAATCTATACCGACAAGCGGTGCCACAGCCAACTCTAAAACAGGTTGTGACGCCACTGAACGAATGACATGTTATTTCTTGGGTTTGGTGGTTGGAGTTTATTTATTTGGAATGTCAGTGAAGAAGCGATAATGGAAGCGTTATCGTGAACAGTTTGGTGTAGAGAGTGGGAGAGTGTGCTGAGGTGTTGGGTACTGATGACGTCAGCACTGGTGCGTGTGTCACAAGACATGGAATGTGCAAACACAGGTCAAACCCAGTTTGTCTACAGACTAAAATCCCAGTTTGTACACAGGTCAGCGATTGCTAATGAATCCTAAGTGCAAATTTTCCTCCAAAAGCCGATTGCATTGTTAGGTACCATGTGTACTTTAGGATAAGTCTCCCATTGTCGTACAGGTACCTGGGATAAATCCATATGTTATCCTGCTCCTATGCGCACAACGGATAATTCTGTCTTTTTATTATGGTGTATGTGTAACTGTGATAAGTCTCTGTGATGTTCTGGCCTATGTGTACCTGGGATAGGTACTGTGTATTTGGGATAGGTCTCTGTGTACCTGGGATAGGTCTCTGTGTACCTGTAATAGGTCTCTGTGTACCAGGGATAGGTCTCTGTGTACCTGGGATAGGTCTATGTGTACCTGGGATAGGTCTATGTGTACCTGGGATAGGTCTCTGTGTACTTGGGATAGGTCTATGTGTACCTGGGATAGGTCTCCGTGTACCTGGGATAGGTCTCCGTGTACTTGGGATAGGTCTCCGTGTTGCTCCAGGGATAAAAGTCTCCGAAGGGAAAAGAAACCAGGGCCTGGTGTTGGTTGCTATAAAATATCTGCACCAGATAAACCGACCAAATCTTGTAGATCAGTGTGACAGATAGCG